ACGGGGTTTCACCTTGTTGACCAGGATGGTCTCGATCTCTTGACCTTGTGATCCACCCGCCTCGACCTCCCAAAGTGCTGGGATTACAGGTTTGAGCCACCGCGCCCGGCCCTTTCTTTTCTTTTTCTTCTTCTTTTTTTTTTTTTTTTTGTGACAGAGTCTTGCCCTGTTGCCCAGGCTGGAGTACAGTGGCATGATCTAGCTTACTGCAACGTCCACCTCCTGGGTTCAAGGGATTCTTGTGCCTCAGCCTCCTGAGTAGCTGGGATTACAGATGCACACCACCATACCTGGCTAATTTCTTTTTTTTTGAGACAAGGTCTTGCTCTGACACTAGGCTGGAGTGCAGTGGCACAATTTTGGCGCACTGCAACCTCTGCCTCCCGGTTCAGGTGACTCTTCCCCTCAGTCTCCCAAATAGCTGGGACTACAAGCTAGTACCACCAGCTAATTTTTGTATTTTTTAGTAGAGACACGGTTTCACCATGTTGATCAGGATGCTGTCTATCTCTTGACCTTGTGATCCAACCGCTTTGGACTCCTAAAGTGCTGGGATTACAGACGTGAATCATATTTTGTATTTTTAGGAGAAATGGGGTTTTGCCACGTTGGCTGGGCTAGTGTTGAACTCCTGACTTCAAGTGATCCACCCACCTCGGCCTCCCAAGTGTGAGCCACTGTGCCCAGCCTTTTTTTTTTTTTTTTTTGGAGATGGAGTTTCTGCTCTTGTCCAGGCTGAAGTGCAATGGTGTGATCTCAGCTCACTGCAATCTCCACCTCCTGGGTTTAAGCCATTCTCCTGCCTCAGCCTCCCAAGTGTCTGGGATTACAGTTGCCTGCCACCACGCCCGGCTAATTTTTGTATTTTTAGTAGAGACAGGGTTTCACCATGTTGGTCAGGCTAGTCTCAAACTCCTGACCTCAGGTGGTGATCCACCTACCTTGGCCTCTCAAAGTGCGAGGATTATAGGTGTGAGCCACCGCACCCGGCTTTTTTTTTTTTTTTTTTGAGATGGAGTCTCGCTCTGTCTCCCAGACTGGAATGCAATGGCATGATCTCGGCTCACTGCAACCTCTGCCATCCAACTTCAAAGCAATTCTCTTGCCTCAGCAGAGTAGCTGAAATTACAGGCATGTGCCACTACGCCTGGCTTATTTTGTATTTTTAGTAGAGACGGGTTTCGCCATATTGGTTAGGCTGGTCTTGAACTCCTGACCTCATGGTCTGCCTGTGTTGGCCTCCCAAAGTGCCTGGATGACAGGAGCCACCACGCCCAGCCCCAGCTGATTTTTTTTTTTTTGCATGTATTCCTAACACATTTTTTTTTTTAAGCATATTTTCTTTTCTTTTCTTTCTCTTTTTCTTGTTTTTTCATTTAGTTTTGTTTTTGGAGACAGGGTCTTGCTCTGTCACTTAGCTGAAGTGCAGTGGTGCAGTCATGGCTCACTGCATTCTTGACCTCCTCAAAATCCTGAACACGAGCAATCCTTTTTTTTTTTTGAGACGGAGTTTCGCTCTTGTTACCCAGGCTGGAGTGCAATGGCGCGATCTCGGCTCACCGCAACCTCCGCCTCCTGGGTTCAGGCAATTCTCCTGCCTCAGCCTCCTGAGTAGCTGGGATTACAGGCACACGCCACCATGCCCAGCTAATTTTTTGTATTTTTAGTAGAGATGGGGTTTCACCATGTTGACCGGGATGGTCTCGATCTCTCGACCTCGTGATCCACCCGCCTCGGCCTCCCAAAGTGCTGGGATTACAGGCTTGAGCCACCGCGCCCGGCCCCTTTTTTTTTTTTTTTTGGAGACGGAGTTTCGCTGTTGTTACCCAGGCTGGAGTGTAATGGTGCGATCTCAGCTCACTGCAACCTCCGCCTCCTGAGTTCAGGCAATTCTCCTGCCTCAGCCTCCTGAGTAGCTGGGACTACAGGCACACGTCACCATGCCCAGCTAATTTTTTGTGTTTTTAGTAGAGACTGGGTTTCACCATGTTGACCAGGATGGTCTCGATCTCTCGACCTCATGATCCACCCGCCTCAGCCTCCCAAAGTGCTGGGATTACAGGCTTGAGCCGCCACCACACCCGGCATTTTTTTTTTTTTTTCTTTTAAACTTCTAAGTTGATATGATGTGGTACTGATAAGAGTGTATATTTTGTGTAAAGTGGAGAGTTCTATAAATGTTAATTACGTTTACTTGTTCCAGATCTGAGTTCAAGTCCTGGATATCGTTGTTAATTTTCTGTCGCATTGATCTGTCTAATATTAATGTTGAAGTCTCCCACTATTATTGTGTGGGAGTCTAAGTCTCTGTATAAGTCTTGTATGTCTGGGTATTCCTGTATTGGGTGCGTATACATTTAGGATCTTTAACTCTTCTTGTTGTTGCATTGATTCTTTTATCATTATATAATGTCCTTCTTTGCTTCTTTTGATCTTTGTTGCTTTAAAGACTATTTTATCAGAGGCAAAAATTGTAACTTCTGCTTTTTATTTATTTATTTTTGCTCTCTGTTTGGTTGGTAAATCTTTCTCCATCCCTTGTTTTGAGTCTTTGTGTATCCTTGAATGTGAGATGATTCTGGATGCAGCATACCGATGGGTTTTAGTTTTTTGTCCAAATTGCCTGTCTGTCTTTGAATTGGGGAATTTAGTCAATTTAAATTTAGAATTAATAATGATATATGTGAGTTTAATACTGCCATTTAATATTAGCTGGCTATTTTGTCCATTAGTTGATGTAAATTCTTCATTATATTGATGTTCTTTACTTTTTGGTATTTTTTAGAAAGGCTGATACTGTTTGTTCCTTTCTATGTGCAGTGGTTCTTTCAGAAGCTCTTGTAAAGCAGGCCTGGTGGTGATGAATTCTCTGAGTGCTTGCTTGTTCACAAAAAACTTTATTTTTCCTTCACTTGTGAAGCTTAGTTTGGCTGGATGTGAAATTCTTGGTTGAAAGTTCTTTTCTTTAAGGATGTTGAATATTGGTCCCCACTCTCTTCTGGCTTGTAGGGTTTCTGCTGAGAGATCTGCTGTAAGTCTGATAGGCTTCCCTTTGTGGGTAACCTGACCTTTCTCTCTGGCTGCCCTTAGTATTTTCTCCTTCATTTCAACCCTGGTGAATCTGACGATTATGTGCCTTGGAGTTGCTCTTCTTGAGGAATATCTTTGTGGTGTTAGCTGTATTACCTGGAGTTGAATATTATCCTGCCTTACTAAGTTGGGAAAATTTTCCTGAATAATATCCTGAAGTGTATTTTCCAGCTTGGATTCATTCTCTTCGTCACATTCAGGTATACCTATCAAGCGTAGATTAGGTCTTTTCACATAGTCCCATATTTCTTGGAGACTTTGCTCGTTCCTTTTTATCCTTTTTTTATCTAATCTTGTCTTCTAGTTTTATTTCATTGAGTTGGTCTTCGACCTCTGAAATCCTTTCTTCTGCTTGATCAATTCGGCTGTTAAAACTTGTGCATACTTCACGTAGTTCTCGTATTGTGTTTTTCAGCTCCATCAATTCACTTATTTTCCTCTCTAAATTTTATACTCTTGTTGACATTTCGTCAAACCTTTTTTCAAAGTTCTTAGTTTCTTTGGATTGGGTTAGAACAAGTTCTTTTAATTCACAGAAGTTTCTTATTATCCACCTTTTGAAGCCTGCTTCTGTAATTGGAACACACTCGTTCTCCATCAAGCCTTGTTTCGTTGCTGATGAGGAACTGGGATCCCCTGCTAAGGGAGAGGCGTTCTGATCTTGGGTATTCTCAGCCTTTTTTGGCTGTTTTCTTCCTTTCGTTGTAGATTTATCCATCTGTGGTCTTTATAATTACCGTCTTTGTAATTGGGTTTCTGAGTGGACGTCCAACTTATTGATTCTCAGCGCCGAAATCTGAGCAACCCACTGCGCCGACTCAATCAGCGGCGTTAAGATTGATGGTGCTTTTCTGACTCTGCACCAAGAACCGACGCTCTAAGGCGCCAGCAATACCGCCTCGCCGGTCACAAGAGTCGCGCTGGTGACCCGTGGGGCTCCTCCGCTGGGAATCTCCTGGTGCGTGAGCAACAAGAATTCATGTGAAGGTGTGGCGTCCTCTTGTTCTTTGTGTTTTCACTGGGAGCTACAATCCCGAGCTGCTAGTGATCAGCCATCTTGGATCTCTCTCTCTCTCTTTTTTTTTTTTTTTTGTTTAAGGCAGAGTCTCACTCTGTCTTCAGGCTGGAATGCAGTGGTGTGATCTTGGCTCACGTTGCAACCTCCGCCTCCCAGATTCAAACAATTCTCCTGCCTCAGCCTCCCGAGTAGCTGGGACTACAGGCACACACCACCATGCCTGGCTAATTTTTATATTTTTAGTAGAGACCAGATTTCACCATGTTGGCCAGGATGGCCTTTCAAGTAGGTCTCACTGGGCACAGTGGCTCATACCTGTAATCCCAGCACTTTGGGAGGCTGAGGCAGGTGGATCATGAGGTCAGGAGTTTGAGACCAGCCTGACTAAGATGGTGAAATCCTGTCTCTACTAAAAATACAAAAATTAGGTGGCGCAGTGGCAGGCACCTATAATCCCAGCTACTTGGGAGGCTGAGCAGGAGAATTGCTTGAAGCCAGGAAGCGGCGGTTGCCATGAGTCAAGATCATGCCACTGCACTCCACTCCAGCCTGGGTGACAGAGCAAGATTATGTCTCAGAAAAAAAGGTCGGGGGTGTGTCTCACTATGCCCGGGGTGGTCTTGAACTCCTGGGCTCTTGAGTGATCCTCCCACTTTGGCCTCTCAAAGTGTTGGGATTGCAGGCATAAGCCACCACACCTGGCCATATTTTCTTTTCTTAAACATAATGAGATTTTAAGAGATGCTGTCTTGCCCAGGTCTCCACCCGCAGTTTCCTCTAAGCAGGGGAATCAGCACTGTAGCGCAGGATGTTTTCTGATCTGTGCACATGGTTGGGAAGTTTGTGTGAATCAGTGGACAGTGTCCATGGTAACAGCACCCACTCTCTGCAGCCTGTGCACATCGGGCGTGGTTCGGCTTCACATCAACAGCTGGCTGGAAGTGAGCTTCTGCCTGCCCCACAAGATCCACTATGCGGCCTCCAGCCTGATCCCCCCAGAGGCCATCGAACGGAGCCTGAAAGCCATCCGGTAAGTGCCCAGCTCCATGTGCTCACTTGCTGTCAAGGCCCTTCCCGTTAGCGTCTGCCTGAGATTTTACCATTCACTTGGTTGCCCAAATTCTCTTTCCTCTTCCTGCTGCGGAAGCTGGCGGGTGGGGCTCTGCTGTTTATAGAAGTCAAAACACATAGTTTTGTGTCCACTTGTGTCTAGAAATGACCAGTTCCAGGTTTCTCCTGGGCCCTGCTGGCACCACCTCAGGCCTGGCCTGGGTAGCCTGGATATGGGGCTGAGTGTCCTGGGGGAGGCTAAATGGCTGGAGGGACTTCATCTTGATGGTGTTGCTTCTGCCCCAGCCTTCTGCATTTCAGTCAGCACTTGTGGAATCTCAGTTACTTTCTCTTTTAATGAAACAAAGTTTCGATCTTTTTTTTTTTTTTTTTTTTTTGAGACGGAGTTTCACTCTTGTTACCCAGGCTGGAGTGCAATGGCACGATCTCGGCTCACCGCAACCTCCGCCTCCTGGGTTCAGGCAATTCTCCTGCCTCAGCCTCCTGAGTAGCTGGGATTACAGGCACGCACCACCATGCCCAGCTAATTTTTTTTGTATTTTTAGTAGAGACGGGGTTTCATCATGTTGACCAGGATGGTCTCGATCTCTTGACCTCGTGATCCACCCGCCTCGGCCTCCCAAAGTGCTGGGATTACAGGCTTGAGCCACCGTGCCCGGCCGGAGTTTCGATCTTATCGCCCAGTCTGGAGTGCAGTGGTGTGATCCCAGCTCACTGTAACCTCCGCCTCCTGGGTTTAAGTGATTCTCCTGCCTCAGCCTCCTGAGTAGCTGCGATTACAGGTGCCCACTGCCAGGCCTGACTAATTCTTTTGTGTTTTTAGTAGAGATGGGGTTTCACTGTGTTGTCCTGGCCGGTCTTAAATTCCTTACCTCAGGTGGTCCACCCGTCTTGGCCTCCCAAAGTGTACTTTCTTAATTTGATTGATTTTCTTTCTCTTTTTTTTTTTTTTTTTTTGAGATGGAGTCTTGCTCTGTTGCCCAGGCTGGAGTGCAGTGGTGCAGTCTCACCTCACTGCAGCCTCTGCCTCCCAGGCTCAAGGGATTCTCCTGCCTCAGCCTCCCAAGTAGCTAGAATGCCAGGTGGGTGCAACCACATTTGGATAATTTTTGTATTTTTAGTAGAGATGGTGTTTCACCATGTTGGCCAGAGTGGTCTTGATATCCTGACCTCAGGTGACCCACATACCTTAGCCTGCCAAAGTGCTGGGATTTCAGACATGAGCCACTGTGCCCGGCCAGTCCTAGGTAGATTTTGTGAAGGCCTTCGAACACACCACTGCCCTTCTGTTCGATCACTCTCTTGGCTCTTCTCTCTGCAGTTGAGGGCTGGGGGGCTCCAGCTGCACATCTGTGTCTCAAGTGCATACCTGTGCAGGGGACCCTGCACTTTGTGTGTTCCATGACAGGTCACTGTTTTTCAGCCCGTACCATGCCCTGCTGCTGCTCAGTGACGAGAAGTCCTTGCTGAGTGAGCTTCCTATCGACTGTTCCCCTGCCCTAGTGCGGGTGATCAAGACCACATCTGCTGTGAAGAACCTGCAGCAGCTAGCCCAGGATGCGGACCTGGCCTTGCTGCAGGTATAGCTCTGGGGGCCTGGATGGGTGGCATGTGGCAGGTGCTGGGGCATCAGGAAAGCTGGGCCGCCTACCACGCTGCATCCACAGGGGCTCCGTCCAGCTGAGAGCGCAGCACTGTCCACCATGGGGTGGTGCCAGTTCCTGAGATGGCTGGAGTTTTTGGCCTCTGAGTCATACCTGGGTTCAGGGCTTGCTTTGTGAACCATGGGACTGACTGCTTCCTCTGTCTGAGGGAGGTAAGGTGAGTCTCTAAGAGAAAGGACTGGGGTGCTCCTAGTCCTGGAGGTTGAGACTCCAGAGCTAGGGTGTGGGCAGGGCAGGAGCGGGTAGGGTCGTGGGGGTCTCACAATGGGGCATGAACAAGGAACTGAGGGCAGGAAGCTTGGACACAGGGCCCTCCCATGTGCAGAACAAAGACCTAACCTGGTAGCCTTACCCCCATTATGTGCACGTGTTGACCTGTGCACTCTGTGCAAGATGGCACTTCCTTGCTATGCCACTTCCTTGCTGAGCCACATGCTTATGGGCCTGTCCCTTGCAGAATGCTGCCCTCTCTGAATAGGTGGAGGGCCCCTCAGCCTTGTCTCTGGATCTGGTTGGAGTGTGGGTTGAATATGGGAGGAAAAGCACAGGGATGGCTGGGCATGGTGGCTCATGCCCGTCATCCCGGCATTTAAGGAGGCCAAGGCAGGCGGAGCGCTTGAGCCCAGGAGTTTGAGACCAGCCTGGGCAACATGGCAAAATCCCATCTCTAGAAAAAATACAAAAATACTAGCTGGGCATGGGGGTGCATGTTTGAAGTCCCAGCTACTTTGGAGTATGAGGTGGGAGGGTTACTTGAGCCTGGGAGGCAGAGATTGCAGTAAGCTGAGATCGTGCCACTGCACTCCAGCCTGGGCGACTCTGTTTCCAAAGAAAAAGGAAAAAAGAACAGGGAGAAATGAGAAACGGGCTGCTGATGGGTGGCCAACAGGCCATGGGGTCAGCTGTCTGCTAGCCATGTGGGTGGCGCCCTCGTCTGGTGTGCACAGCATAGTCACCAGGGGGCAGCAGAGGCCTGGCACAGGAAACCCCAGGCGGGCTGCTGAGGAACACAGGCGAGAGGCATGTTCTTTTGGCCTGTGAAGCAGGTCTTTGCTTCTTAGCACATTACAGGAACTTGTCCAACAAGGCCTCTCAGGTCACGTTTCCCTGAAAGCAGCCTTTTTAGATTCTGTCTTTGAGAGGGAGACTCTCTCCCTCCTGTGTATCCCAGGATCCTTTATCCATCCTCTGTGAAAGTACTTACCACATTGTGCCTTTGTATTTCTTTTTTCTTTTCTGAGACAGGGCCTTGCTCTGTCTCCCAGGCTGGCATGCAGTGGTGCCATCATAGTTCACCCAGGCTTAAGCATTGTCCCAAGTAGCTGGGACTACAGTATGCACCTGGCTACTTTTTTTTTTTTTTTTTTTTTTTTTGGTAGAGACGGGGTCTCCGTATGTTGCCCTGGCTGGCGTCAAACTCCTGGGTTCAAGCAATCATCATCATCACACCTCAGTCTCCTTAGGTGCTGGGATTACAGGCATAAGCTACCATGCCCAGCTGTGTCTTTGGGTTTCATGGGCTGGACAGGACCCAGTAAAGACCATGTCCTGCTTACCTTCATAGCATCCAGGAGACACAGAATTCACAGCATCCAAGAGACACAGAATTTTTTTTGTTTTGTTTTTTTGAGACAGAGTTTCACTCTTGTTGCCCAGGCTGGAGTGCAATGGTGCAATCTTGGCTCACTGCAACCTCTGCCTCCCAGGTTTGTGATTCTCCTACCTCAGCCTCCGAAGTAGCTGGGATTACAGGCATGAGCCACCACACCTGGCTAATTTTTTATATTTTTGGTAGAGATGGGGTTTCTCCATGTTGGTTAGGCTGGTCTCGAACTCCTAACCTCAGGTGATCCACCCACCTTGGCCTCCCAAAGTGCTGAGATTACAGGTGTGAACCATTGTACCTGGCCAAGACACAGAATTTTAAATGAACTTAGTGCTCCATACACCCCTGCAGAGCGAGGGAGTCAGTGACCCTCCATGTCCTGATGAGCACTGGCCACATGGTAAATGCCTGTGGCTGTTCACAGGTCCTGTGTTGAGCTTTTGAAAGGAGCTGTGCCTGGTCTCTCCTGAGGCTGTCTGGCAGGAGTTTGTGCTAGACACTGTGCCTCTCACCCTTGCTGTCAGAGAGTCTCCTTGGATGAAGCTTTGATGTCCCTTTGATGTCCCCTTCACTTCCCTGCCTGGGCCTTGACTGGGGAAGGCTGTTTGTTATTGTTTCCTTCTGTGTATACCCCTTCCCTGCTATCCCTGTTACAGGTCAGCAGGGCTTGCGGCTGGTGTGGTGGTGTGGAAGCCCCTGGGGCCCAGCCCTGGTGGGTCTCTGGGTTTCCTGGAGATGGCCCCCTGGGAAGCATCTGCCTCAGGTGTGAATGTCACCAGATGGTTTAAAGTCCCTCCTGTGGCTAGGTGCAGTGACACATGCCTATAATCCCAGCACTTTGGGAGGATGAGGTAGGAGGATTGCCTAATTCCAAGAGGTTACAACCAGCCTGGACAACATAGGAAGACCCTGTCACTACAACAAATTCCATAATTAGTCTGGCATGGTGCCATGTGCCCGTGGTCCCAGCTACTTAGGAGGCTGAGGTGGGAGGAGCACTTGAGCCCTGGTATTTTGAGGCTGCAGTGAGTTATGATCGCACACTCCAGCCTGGGTAACAGAGCAAGACCCAGTCTCATAAAATTAAAATTTTATCAATCCAGAGAGAATCTATAAGTAAATGTTGGTTTTGTCACGATAAAATTCATGTTAAAAAACTTCAGCCGGGCGCGGTGGCTCAAGCCTGTAATCCCAGCACTTTGGGAGGCCGAGGCGGGTGGATCACGAAGTCGAGAGATCGAGACCATCCTGGTCAACAAGGTGAAACCCCGTCTCTACTAAAAATACAAAAAAATTAGCTGGGCATGGTGGCGCATGCCTGTAATCCCAGCTACTCAGGAGGCTGAGGCAGGAGAATTGCCTGAACCCAGGAGGCGGAGGTTGCAGTGAGCCGAGATCGCGCCATTGCACTCCAGCCTGGGTAACAAGAGTGAAACTCTGTCTCAAAAAAAAAAAAAAAAAAAAAAAAAAAAAAAAAACTTCAAATACTACACAAATCCCACAATCCCATATTGCACAGGTAACTTAGATCCCTCCAGGTTTTTTTTCTTTCTTTCTATCTGTCTATCTGTCTGTTTTATTCCATCTATCTATCTGTCTGTCTATCCTGTCCATCTGTCTGTCCGTCCATCCAAAATTTTATTTCGTAATACAAAAATTAGGATCATGCTTCACATTAGTTGTGGTCAGCTGAATAATGGCTCCACAGACATATCATATATCCTAATCCTCAAAACTTATGAATGTGAACTCGTGAGACTTTAGAGATGTTGCTAAGTTTAAGATCTTGAGATAGGAAGATTATCCTGTTGAGCCCTAAGTGTAATCCCTAAGGCCCTTCTAAGAGGGAAGCAGAGGAGCTGAGGAAGCAGCAGCAGCGATGTGCCCGCAGGGGCAGAGTGGAGTGATGTGGCAGTTTGTAGAGGCAAGATGAATCTCTTCGAGAGCTTCCAGAGGGAGCATGGTCCTGCTGGCAGTTTGGAGAGGCAGGACGAATCTCTTCGAGAGCTTCCAGAGGGAGCATGGTCCTGCTGGTAGCTTGATTCCAGCCTTGAAGTATTGATTTTGGACTTTCGATCCCAGGATTGACAGCATCTTGGAGAGGCAGAAGGTGGAGACCACTATGCTGGGCAGAGCTGGGGGAAAGCGGGTGTGTCTTCGTGAGAGAACAGAGGCCAGTGGTACGTGGGACGAAGGAATAGGGCAGTGATGGAACTGAAACCTGCCACGTCAGGGTTGGCAGTGCCATTAGAGGCACCACTTGCACAATCTTGGCTCACTGCAACCTCCACCTTCCAGGTTCAAGCAGTCCTCCTGTCTCAGCCTCCAAGTAGCTGGGGCCACAGGCACGTGCTGCAATGCCAGGATAATTTAGAAAAAAATTGGGGGCCGGGTGCAGTGGCTCATGCTTGTAATCCCAGCACTTTGGGAAGCCGAGGTGGGTGGATCACCTGAGGTCAGGAGTTCAAGACCAGCCTGGCCAACATGGTGAAACCACATCTCTACTAAAAATACAGAAGATTAGCTGAGGGCCGGGTGCGGTGGCTCAAGCCTGTAATCTCAGCACTTTGGGAGGCCGAGGCGGGTGGATCACGAGGTCAAGAGGTCGAGACCATCCTGGTCAACATGGTGAAACCTCGTCTCTACTAAAAATACAAAAAATTAGCTGGGCATGGTGGCGCGTGCCTGTAATCCCAGCTACTCAGGAGGCTGAGGCAGGAGAATTGCCTGAACCCAGGAGGCGGAGGTTGCGGTGAGCCAAGATCGCGCCATTGCACTCCAGCCTGGGTAACAAGAGCAAAACTCCGTCTCAAAAAAAAAAAAAAAAAAAAAAAAAAGATTAGGCCGGGCGCGGTGGCTCAAGCCTGTAATCCCAGCACTTTGGGAGGCCGAGGCGGGTGGATCACGAGGTCGAGAGATCAAGACCATCCTGGTCAACGTGGTGAAACCCCGTCTCTACTAAAAATACAAAAAATTAGCTGGGCATGGTGGCGCATGCCTGTAGTCCCAGCTACTCAGGAGGCTGAGGCAGGAGAATTGCCTGAACCCAGGAGGCGGAGGTTGCGGTGAGCCGAGATCGTGCCATTGCACTCCAGCCTGGGTAACAAGAGCGACACTCTGTCTCAAAAAAAAAAAAAAAAAAAAAAGATTAGCTGAGCGTGGCTGCAGACTCCTGTAATCCCAGCTACTCAAGAGGATGAGGCAGGAGAGTCACTTGAACCCTGGAGGCAGAGGTTGCAGTGAGCTGAGATCATGCCACTGCACTCTAACCTGGGCAACAAGGCAAGACTCCATCTCAAAAAAACAAAAGACAATTTTGGTAGAGATGAGGGTCTCACTATATTGCCCAGGCTGCTCTTGAATGCTAGGTTCAAGCAGTCGTCCTGCCTTGGCCTCCCAAAGTGCTGGATTATAGGCATGAGCCACTGCTCTCAGTCTGGAGGCCCTGTTTTCTGAGTATATGTGTCCTCAGCAGCAGGGCAACACTATGTCCAGGCAGGGGTGACTCGCCTCCACAGAGGGCTGGCTACCTGCCAAGAGGGGGGAGTGGTATCCTGGGGTGATGCAGAGGCAGAAGTGGGGTGCTCAGGATTTCACGTACTGTTTCATGAGGGCTGTGGTGTTGTGCTCTCAGACCTCAGGCCTGAGGTTTCCTCTGGAAGGGGTTTTAGGTGTGTTTGTCTGTGTGTCCTGGTGTTCAGGCATCCACAAGAGCAAAGCTAGGAGGTAGGGCACATGCGGGCAGGCCTGGGGCCTTTGGGTTTGCAGGGATAGCATGCTGAGTGACTCCACACCCATCATTGGGCCAAGGCCACACTGGGGTTTTAGGGTGTTTTGGGAGGGCTGTGCCTCTGCCAGGACATCCAGCTAAGCCCTCCTGCCCAGCTGGGCTAACCCTGTGTTCCCAGCACCCCAGACATTCCCATGCTGATGGCCTGAGACCACTATTCTTCAGTGGGAGTCAAGTCAGCTCAGGATGGGGAAACGGTGGCACCAAACAGCACAGGGAGCAGTGATAAAAAGGCCATTGCAGGCCAGGCATGGGGCTCACGCCTGCAATCCCAGTGCTTTGGGAGGCCGAGGCAGGCAGATCACAAGGTCAAGAGATCAAGACCATCCTGCCCAACATAGTGAAACCCTCTCTCTGCTAAAATACAAAAATTAGTTGGGCATGTGGCACGTGCCTGTAGTCCCAGCTACTCGGGAGGCTGAGGCAGGAGAATTACTTGAAGCCGGTAGGCGGAGGTTACAGGGAGCTGAGATTGCACCACTGCACTCCACTCCACTGCACTCCACTCCACTGCACTCCACTCCACTGCACTGGTGCCTGGTGAAACAGCAAGACTCTGTCTCAAAAAAAATAAAAGGCCATTGTGGCCGGGTGCGATGGCTCTCGCCTGCAATCCCAGCACTTTGGGAGGCCAAGGCAGGTGGATCTCTTCAGGTCGGGAGTTCAAGACCAGCCTGACCAACATGGTGAAACCTTGTCTCTACTAAAACAAAAATTAGCCGGGCACGGTGGCACAAGCCTGTAATCCTGGCTACTCAGGAGGCTGAGGCAGGAGAATTGCTTGAATCTGGGAGGCAGAGGCTGCAGTGAGCTGAAATTGCGCCATTGCACTCCAGCCTGGGCGACAGAGCAAGACTCAGTCTCAAAAAAAATAAAAAGGCCATTGCTCACAGAACGTGCCATGTGCTGGCTGCGCTGCACTTCCTGGTGAGAGGTAGGGAAGGTGCCGTTCCACATTAGGGAGGAAGTTTCGGGCCATAGCCACCAGGTGTGTGCTGCATGAGCCTGGAGCCAGCTACTCCAGGCCATGGCCACCCAGGCTGAGAGCTTCCGACAGCTCCCAGTAGGCCAGCCTCAGGCATGATCCTTGCAGCTTCCCCTCTGCCTGCAGGTTTTCCAGCTTGCAGCTCATCTGGTGTACTGGGGCAAGGCCATCATCATCTACCCACTGTGTGAAAACAACGTCTACATGCTGTCTCCCAACGCCAGTGTGTGTCTGTGAGTACTTCCGGCTCCCAGAGCCTGGAGCCCTGAGCGGGAAGGGGTGAGGCCAGCAAGGCCTTCCACCTGGTGTTCTCTGCATTGACCAGGCACCAAAGGCTGTGGAAGCCCCAAGGCCAGGCTCCAACTTCAGCCTGACTCCAGCCTCCAGAGTGCCCAGGTCCCAGTTCTAGCCCAGCTCTGTGCTGCATGGCTCTCCTTTGTCCCCCTGTGCTAGGTCACCTCCTCCAGGCTGGCTTTCCTGATCCACCCTGAGGGATCAGAGGTGAGATGCAGAGTGAACTGTGCCCTTGGCTCCAGCCGCTGCTCAAGGGGAAGTGCACAGGCACTGTCCACCTGGAGGCCTGCCTGGCTCTACTGTGTCAGTCACACTGTTCTTCCCTCATTGCACTGTCCTGGCCCACCTGCCATGCTGGGCTTGCCTGCTGCCCGCAGAGGCCAGTGTTGAGAACACAGTGGGGGGTCTGCTGCACTCACTGGCATGCTCTCCTGCCTCCAGGTACTCCCCGCTGGCTGAGCAGTTCTCCCACCAGTTCCCATCTCATGACCTGCCGTCCGTCCTTGCCAAGTTCTCCTTGCCGGTCTCCTTGTCAGAATTTAGGAATCCCCTGGCCCCTGCTGTGCAGGAGGTGAGTCACAGAAGCTCAGTGAGCCCAGAGTGGTAGATGCGTAGTGGATCGGGCACTACCTGCCTGGCTCTTGGTTCTGATCTGAGAGCCCTCAGCACTGGCACCTGCTTCCCCTTGGTTTTGGGGGCTTGCCGTGCTAGTGCTGTGTGCCCAGCATGGCCCAAAAGGCAGCTGCCAGGCCATCTGCAGACACTTGGCCAGTGACCCAACACTTGGGCAGTCATCGCCTCCCCATAGAGCCCACCCTTGCTGTGGCAGGCAGTTTTTAGATTTAGAACTGAGTTAAGCTTGGCAGGAGAGTGCTTACCTCTTTGGGCCTACAGACCTGTGTTGTACCCCTTTGGGTGTGGGGACTTCCTACAGACGAGGGTGCAAAGGTAGCTATGTTTTCACTGGGCCAGGGCCTGACCCTCTAAGAGAGTTTAGCTTCTGCCTTCACTTCCTGCCATTGTTCAGGTGGCCATAGGGTCTGTGGGTATGAGTTCTGGGGCCACTAGTCCCCAGAATCTCCTCATCCAAGAGCGCCTAGAGAGGACCCTCATGGGTCTGGGTCTAGGCAGCAGGCAGGCAGGTTGGAAGCTAGGAGTGCAGGGGATAGGAAGCCTCTTGCAGGTTTGTGGGATGAACTGGTGCATCTGTATCTGTAGCAGGGCCAGTGGCTTCCCATGTGGGCTGCAGGTGTTACAGCCTTCGTGCTGAGGTGGCTTTGACACCCTTCCCTCCACCGAGTTCTGGGCAGAGACCCAAGGCAGGGCCAGATGGGACACGTCTCAGAGACAGACAAGCTGGGTGTTCTCACGTCTTTGTTATCAACAATATTTGACTGAATAAGTGCCAGATTTATTAGGTAAAACCAGTCCGTAAAGTCAAACCCTTTCCGTTCTCAAATTGTGAATAAGATTCTGGTTTTTCAGCTGCTTTAGACGCCAAACCTAAGAGAGTTCTCAGTGTGGTATTCATGGAGCCCTTGGTTTCTGGGAGCTGAGCCAATGTACCTGCTGAATAAAAAGCACTCCCTGCACCCCTCCTCCCGGGGCAGAGCTGAGGGAGGACCTGCTGGTGTGCCCATCCCAGAAGCCTCCCTTGGGGTGGCTTTTCCAGGCCATGATTGAGTGGTTGCTCCAGGCCTCGTCAAGGGGCCAATGTTCTGCCTGGGCTCCAGTGCTGGGAAGCCCCTCTGTTTCAATTTTTTTTTTTTTTTTTTGAGGCGGAGTTTCACTCTTGTTACCCAGGCTGGAGTGCAGTGGCACGATCTCGGCTCACTGCAACCTCCGCCTCCTGGGTTCAGGCAATTCTCCTGCCTCAGCCTCCCGAGTACCTGGGATTACAGGCACGCACCACCATGCCCAGCTAATTTTTTTTTGTATTTTTAGTAGAGACGGGGTTTCACCATGTTGGCCAGGATGGTCTCCATCTCTTGACCTTGTGATCCACCCGCCTCAGCCTCCCAAAGTGCTGGGATTACAGGCTTGAGCCACCGCGCCCGGCCTCTGTTTCATTTTTTTAAAATGTATGTATTTTTTTTTAATTTCATTTTTGATTGCGCTCCAGGGTGGAGTGCAATGGCACAATCTTTGCTCACTGCAGCCTCCGCCTCCCGAGTTCAAGTGATCTCTTGCCTCAGCCTCTTAAGTAGCCAGAATTACAGGTGCCCACCACCATACCTGGCTAATTTTTTATATAGACGGTGTTTCACTGTGTTGGCCAGGCTGGTCTCAAACTCCGGACCTCAGGTGATCCACTTGCCTTATCCTCTCAAAGTGCTGGGATTACAGGCGTGAGCTACTGTGCTCAACTTTATTATTGTGTTTTGTTGTTCTGATATAGGAACTTGCTCTCTTGTCTAGGCTGAATTGCAGTGGCATGATCTTGGCTTACTGCAACCTCTGCCTCCCGGGTTCAAATGATTCTCCTGCCTCAGCCTCCTGAGTAGTTGAGATTACAGGCGCCTGCCACCATGCTGGCTAATTTTTGTATTTTTAGTAGCGATGGGGCTTCACCGTATTGGCAAGGCTGGTCTTGAACTCCTGACCTCATATAATCTACCTGCTTCAACCTCCCAAAGTGCTGGGATTATAGGCATGAGCTGCTGTGCCGGCCCCCTCTTTTATTTATTAAATTCATGTAAAATCTGTATATCTTGCAGTCCACCAGGTCTTCTTAGTTGCCTGGGGTATATCCCCCATTCCCATCCCGAGTTCCCCAGCCCCCTCCCAGGAGGTGACTCTGGCCAGCAGCTCCTGTGGACCCTCCCGGAGATGAGTAGACAGATGTGTATCTGATGCCACTGATGCTGTCCCACACGGCTCGCTGCTCAGCATTTGTGTCTGGGCAGTGCTTTCTCACAGGGACTGGACTCTACCCCACACAAGGCTGCTCACTGTCAGCTCTACCTGGTAACACAGAGACACTGGAGGGCCTGGCTGGGACATGCCTTCTCATAGTTCGGGTGGGGGTGGGAGGGCTCCACCCCCAAGCACAGGGTCACTGGCCTCAGCTTTCTTGTGGCTCCACTCTTGTGCTCAGGGTAGACATTCAGGTATCCAAGGAGAGGACTTTTTGCTCTCAGGCCACCTGCTCACAGCCTCTTTCCAAACAGTGTCGGGGCTTGTCTGGAGGTAGACTGGCTGGCTGGGTCCCACTGCAGGGCCAGTGGGCTGAAGGAGAGAGAAGGCAGAAGGGCAGCTGCAGCAGCACAGTGTGGGGGTTTGCTCAGAGAAGGGGTCAGAGAGGGACCTCCACATCTCAGGTCCTGCTCCTCAGCCAGACACTGGGCAGCCCAGGTGTGGTCACGATGTTCCCCCAGAGCTTCGCCCTTCCCGGGAGGGTGAGCCGGCCTGGCAGAGCTGGCTGGCAGCTGGAGGCTTCCTTTCTGAGAGGGCCTTTCTGCTTGGGAGTCAGCACAGGGAGTATGCTGTGGCCATGTCTAGGGCTGTGGCTCCCTGATCCCCCAGGAAGGGGCTAGAGTGGGGATGTGGACCAGCCTCACCTGCTGCCACCCACAGACCCAGCTCATCCAGATGGTGGTTTGGATGCTGCAGCGCCGGCTCCTCATCCAGCTGCACACCTACGTCTGCCTGATGGCTTCACCCAGCGAGGAGGAGCCCCGCCTGCGAGAAGATGACGTCCCCTTCACGGCCCGGGTTGGCGGTCGCAGCCTCAGCACACCCAACGCGCTCAGCTTTGGCTCCCCAAGTAGGGTCCCCAGAGCATTAGTCTGGTAGTCAGGGGAGACGCGTGGGAGTGGTGCCCAGGAGGCTGCACATGGGCACTGCTATGGGTGATGCAGTGCCTCCACACGGCAGCACACGCACATGCACGCCCCACGTGTCCCCCGGGAGACGCCTCCTGTCTCCTAGCGTCACCATGACTCTGAGGTGGCAGCTCTGCCTCCGGGCTCTTCAGCAGTTTTGCTAGAGTCAGGAGCAGCTCCCAGCCCACCAGATCAGTGCTGGAATCTGTGCCCCAGCCAGGGATCCGTGTGGGATCCATACCACGGCTGGGACAGCTGACACCTCTGAGTCACCAGAAGAGCAGTCATGGGCAGTGCGGCTTGAGAGCAGCAGTGCTCCCAGGTCCCGGGTCCTCAGGCTTGGGGGAGGAAGTGGGGGGAAGACTTTGAAAGTCCTCCTCTGGCTGAGGTCTGACTGTAGGTTTCATGCTTCATGTGAGGACCCTACCTGCCTGGGGTGCTTTGTCCTCCATCCTGGGTGAGGGACAAGATGACCAGGCCCACCTTGGGGTATCTGTGGGGTATACATTATACCTCTGTTTTGGTCGCTTGAAGTTGCCCCCGGAGGGGAGACTACCCATTTCCCAGGTCAGCCGTGAGGGGCAAGTGTCACACCCAAGAGGTGGGACAGCAGCATGTGCTTACAGGCAGATGTTGCAGCAGGGGCACCAGGCAGGGACCTTGTGGGAGTCCTGGGTGTCACTGGAGGCTGGCTGCTGGGTCTGCCCTTGCTGTTACCCTGGGTGTTGAATTCCACTTGGTGCTACTGTCACCTGACCCCGGCCCCCTACAGCCAGCAGCGATGACATGACCCTCACCAGCCCCAGCATGGACAACTCCAGCGCAGAGCTGCTTCCCAGTGGGGACTCGCCACTGAACCAGAGGATGACAGAGAACCTGCTGGCCAGCCTGTCGGAGCATGAGCGTGCAGCCATCCTCAGTGTACCTGCAGCCCAGAACCCTGAGGACCTGCGCATGTTTGCCAGGTGGGTGCAGGTTGACCCGTTGGGACTGGGGCCAATTGCAGGGTTGGGGCAGGAAGTGGATAGGGATGTACCCAACAGGACCACCACATCCACTGACAACACATGGGTCCCTGTTTCAGGTGGAGTCTCTGCACTCAGGTGTGTAGGGACAGGCACCCCTGCCCAGGCATGGGAATGCAGCTTGTCACAAAGACCCCGGGCTGTGGGCCTGCTGTGCCTGTTTTTGGGAGTCTTATCTCCCTAGTACTTCTTAGATGTTTCTTGTTGCTTAAGAAGCAGCACCAAGTTCTCACCCTCATGGGACTTGGCAGGGGTTTGCCCAGGACTCCAAGCCCTGCGGGCATCCAGGATCCCCCACGTTATAGGTGATGCTGCTCAGTGGTCTCTTGTCAGCCCTATCCTGACTTCGGGAGCATTCTAGGGGCATGGTTCTCTGGGAGTGGTCAGGTTGTCAGGGACTAAGCGCCCTGTTAAAAACCAGACTCCAGGCACTGGAGAGAACCACTTGCACTCTAAGCAGCTAGTCCACGTCTCACCTGCATCCTAGCCTCCTTTGTGCCAACCTCAGTTGCAGAAACCACCCTAAAGCAGTGACCTTCCAAATAATGATGACATTAAAAATACATAATTTAGGCCGGGCATGGTGGCTCATGCCTGTAATCCCAACACTTTGGGAGGCCAAGGCGGGTGGATCACGAGGTCAAGAGATCGAGACCATCCCGGTCAACATGGTGAAACCCCGTCTCTACTGAAAATACAAAAGATTAGCTGGGCATGGTGGCGCATGCCTGTAATCCCAGCTACTCAGGAGGCTGAGGCAGGAGAATTGCCTGAACCCAGGAGGCGGAGGTTGCGGTGAGCCGAGATCGCACCATTGCACTCCAGCCTGGGTAACAAGAGCGAAACTCCGTCTCAAAAAAAAAATATATATATATATATACACACATATATATGTATATATATATGTATATATATATGTGTGTATATATACGTATATATATGTGTGTGTGTGTGTATATATATATATGTATATATATATGTATGTGTGTGTATATAAATAAATTTTTTTTAAAAGGCCAGGTGCAGTGGCTTGCGCTTGTAATTCCAGCACTCTGGGAGGGCAAGGCAGCTGAATCACTTGAGGTCAGGAATTTGAGACCTGCCTGACCAACATATATTGGAACCCCATCTCTGCTAAAAAATACAAAAATTAGCCTGGCATGGTGGTGCACACCTGTAGTCCCAGCCCAGTTACTTGGGAAGCTCAGGCAGGAGAAATCACTTGAACCTGGGAGGTGGAGGTTGCAGTAAGCCAAGAGGAAGCCACTGCATTTCAGCCTAGGTGACAGAGCAAGACTCAAAAACAAAAACAAAAAAAGGCAGTGACCTTTTGGCTCCCGAGTTACATGGGAGTTACATGGGACTCATCATAGTATGAAAAAATCACCAGCAGACATCTAGTCCCAACATCAGGACACAGGCTGGGGCAGCTCCAGGTTTGAACAGCTGTCTGCCCTCCCACTGTGCCCATCTGGTCAGCGGGACCATGGTGGGCATGGGTCCAGGAGGCTTGCCTACCCTTGGGGGGCTATGGTGGCTGCCACCCTGGCCTTCACTGCCAGCTCTGCTCAGGCCTGTGGGCAACTCAGAGCTGATCCCCAGCAGTAGCTATTCCGCAGATGTCTTTAGGGACTGGTGTCAGGTTGGCCTCAAGCCAAGCCACCCTTTCCAGGCTCCTTCACTACTTCCGTGGCCGCCACCACCTGGAGGAGATCATGTACAACGAGAACACGCGGCGCTCCCAGCTGCTCATGCTCTTTGACAAGTTCCGCAGCGTGCTGGTGGTGACCACCCATGAGGACCCCGTCATTGCTGTCTTCCAGGCTCTGCTTCCCTGAGCCCAGGCGGAGTGGGGAAGGCTGCTGGGGTGTGCAGGTGGGCTCCCTCCCTGCTGAGGCTGAGCCTTCTCAGCCCTGAGGCCCAGCACTGGGTGGATGCCAGCCCTGTCCTGACCAAAGGCCTACAGAGCCCCACTGTCCTGGCCATGGGTGGTTCAGCTGTGGGGATGCTGCCCTCTGTGCCCCTATGCTTCCCTGCTTGTGTGGCCTGTTCCTATCTGACAGCCTTCCCTTTGTGAAGTGCCCTGTGGCCCCTTCCCCAGCATCACCCCTCTCTGCCATGGACTTCTTCCCAGGTTGCCATGAGCCTTTTCCAGGCCCAGTCCTCACCACAGCCCACATTAAGTCACACACGGGCTCATAGCCAAGCTGTGACCTGGTCCTGACCATCTGGGGCACGAGCGCTTGGGCTGGCCCCGCTAGGCCGGAGCAGCCCTGTCACCTGTGCACATCTTGCTGGTGGAGGCATGGCCCACTGTGCAGGATCCCACACTGACGATTCTCCCCAGGGTCCACACTGGGTCTGGTGCTACATACTTGGGGCCCCAAGCCCTCGTGTCCTGGAGGAAGAGCTGGCTCCAGACATGTGCTGATCACCTAGGGGGACTCTGGCTAACGCAGTTTTCTAGAAATAAAACATTTATTTGTTATTAAACAATTAAAAAGTTGTCGAGGCAGGCTCTCTCCTCAGGCCTGTGCGTCCTGCTCAGCCACTCTGTCGACCACACTGACCCAGGGGCTGCCCCGGACATAGAAGCGCAGGGGTTTTCGGGCCCACTCCCCTGCGTAGCCAATGCCCACCCGGGCTGCTGCCACTACAGCTGGTCCACTGGGCTCCAGGGGGCCACACTCCAACCATATAGCTTCATCCTGAGCCAGGTCCCTCTGGTCAAAGCTCTTGTCGATGGCCAGGGCCTGGCACAGCTTGGAGGGGCCACTGCAGAGCTCACGGTCCTTGAGGACACGGCTGGCGGTGCCTTTCCGGAGGGTGCTGCGAAGCTGACGCATGGTCTCCAGACCTTCTAGGGGCTCCAGTGCTCGAAGCAAGACACAGGCTCCGTCCCCTATGGGATGGATGGACAGCTTGGAAGTGGAGCCTCCCTAGGCTCCTGTTTCCTTGTGCACATCCAGACATGCTGTGCTGTGGGGAGGGTGCAGCTGCCTTCTGCCTGGGCCAGGGACCTACTCTGTGCACCTGCACTGTCTACTGGGTCTGACCTGGTGGGAGGGGGCTGGACATCAATTTGTACAGACCCCTCTGCCTACCTCACCATCCTCCATGGCTGCGCCATGAGGTGTGCCTCCCATGGGGACCTCTGGCTGCCACCACTGTGGATGCCCCTATGAAGCCAAACTAAAAACACAGGACGAATGCTGGATATCAGCTCCTTTCTCCCTGGCTTCCCCTGGTCTTGTGATTGGCAGCAGCTATGAGACCAGCAAAGGAAACTCCAGAGAGCCAGTCCTTGGGTGGGGTCATTCTGCCAGGAAGCAGGAAGTCTTGGGCCTAGCCAGGCCCCAGGGCTCCCCTTCTGCCTCACCCACTCGACATTTGTGTTGGGCAAGTGGTGGGGCTAGGGGCTGGCTTAGAGCAGCTGCCAGTGTGCGCAGGATGTTGGGAGAGCCCAGGCAATGACTCAGTGGAAAGACTGACTGCAACACCCTGCACAGGCAGAGCAGGAGGCGGCCGACCAAGCCCCTCACTTCCCTTGGGATCCTTCCTCCAGCCTAGTCCCCTCCCTCACGAGGCCAGTCCACTTGAGAAGCCAGAGAGAGCAAAGAGGCTCCTGGGCCCAGGGCTCACTCGGGCACACAGATACCCAGATTCCCTCTGTCCTGCGTGTTTGGAAAGGCCTCTCAGCTTCCTGGCTGGGCACAACGAGAGCCTGGACCCTGGCCAGAGGAGCCCTGGCCCTCCCACAAGGCAGCTCCCTGGGGATACCTGCTTTAACTCACCTGTGCATCCCTGGCCCTCCAGCCACCTGGAGTCAAAGGCTTGGCCCAAGGGTGGCCAAGCCAGTCCCCATTCTGGGGCAGTGGCCATATAAGCCTCTGCATCAGGAGCCAGAGGCCAGCACTCCTGGACAAAGCCATGCCCTCTGGCAGAGCCAGCAAGTGTGGTGTTCCTGTGAGCAGATACCCTAAACCACCGAGTTTTCAAAGCATTTCAAGATAAAATCAAGGCCAAGCAAAGTAAGTTCCCATCCGTTGTCATTCCCCCGGTGCTTCCAGCTCACCAGGTGGGGTGCCCGGTGCCCCCTCCCAACTCACCTCAGTAGGAAGGAGCAGGACCCTCTACATCCCTGTGGGTGCAGGACACATGCCCCTCATTGTTTCACTGAGCCCCCCAGAGCTGCCTGCAAAAGAGTGACAGCTTGTCTGCTGTCACCACCACACCCTCCTGTCCTGGCTCCTTCACATAGAACACATCCAAGTCCCACATCCTGATAAAAACAGGACCCCTTTGATCTCTTCCTGCCAAACCTTCCTGTCCTCACTTACTCCTCTGCCCACGCTAAGCCCCACCACCACCTGCTGTGCGAACTGCTGTGCGAACTACTCCGTCCTTGGCGGCGTGACCACTCTCCTCTTCTCAGCACTGCAATCATCCTCAAGTGTTGCTGCCTCCATCAAGGGCAGCCGACAACTGTGTCCTCAGCCTCCTTTCCGCCTCCACTCCAACCAACCCTTTCTGCCCCTCTAACCAACCTTGCCCCGTCAATGCAGCCAGAGCTCCTGAAACCCTGACCTGGCCCTGGAAATGGCACTTCTTTGCTCAAATGCCTGCCCCTCCTCAGTCCTGGAGTCTCCTGGCTGCCAGCTGATGGGGCCGTGCCAGCTCTCCAGCCCCCTCAACCACCGACACCCCCTGCCCCAGCACTGCTCACCCTGGCTGGAGATGTTCATGCAGAAGTACATGCCGTAAATGATGTACACGTACAGGGTCCCTGGCTTCATGAACATGCCTCGGTTGCGGGGGGTCTGCCGGCCACCCCTTGAGTGGGCAGCTTCATCCTCTGGCCCCAAGTATGCCTCAGTCTCCACGACGCGGCCCCGGAGCTCTGTGCCGTTAGGAAGTCGCCGGACTAGGACCTGTGGGGAGTCGGTTTCTGCTCAGGGCAGGAAGGGATGGGGGTCTACTCACCCTAAGTTTCTAGTCCGGATCTCATCTCCCCAGCTCGGGGTGTATCAGCCACCCAGGTCTAGCCAGGGACCTGGCCCCATCTCCATCCTGCCTCTTCTCTCGCTCCTGCTCAGAGCCTGATTGTGGCGGTTGAGGCCACCAGCTGTCTCCTCCAGGGACCACCAGACTGCAGGCTGAAGACACCTCAGGCCACAGCCAGGGCTGGGCTGGCAGCCAGCAGCGTGGATTCACCTTGCAGGTCGACTTTCAAGTCCTCTCAGCAACGGGTCGTCCATTCCCCAGCTTCCTCCTTTCCCAACTACCCTTGAGCATTTAGCATGAGGCCAGGCATCACGGGAGGCACAGGACCTCAAGGATGTCCCCAGACCAGCTGCCTGGGAAATCCCAGAGCCTGTGAAGTCCCCTAAACCTGGGATGCTGAGGTGGCCACGAAGGACCCTCATACTCAGCTCCCACCCGCCAGCTCTAAGGCCTTTCTGTGCAGTTGGCCCAGCTGCCCCACAGTCCTGGTAACGGCCAGCAGTTGTGCCCAGTGCTCTGCTCGGAGCCCCAGGTATAAGACTTCACAGCAGAGCACTGGGGACCAGCCACGTCCCCACCACCTGTCTCATTTTTAGGCCAGAGGAGTCAGCTGGACAGCCAGGCCATCTTCACCTCAGCCCAGGAAGCCTTGTGGTGCCATGGTCAGTATCACCAGTTGGGAAGGAGGGGCACTGGGGCTTAGATGCTCGCTGGGGGGAGCACTGAGGCCTTCCTGGAGATAGGGTGGAGGGGAGAAGGGCGTCAGTGCCTGTGCTGGAAGCCCAGAAACCCTTAGGCAACCAAAACCACAAGGACAGAAGTGAACCAGCCAGGCTTGGCGAGACCATGTCCAGGGGAGAAAGGGTGGCCCTGTGCCATTTTCCCTGGAGCTTGGAGGGAATGCCTCTCCAGGGACTTCACTCTGCACACTTCTGTGCCTCCATGGGGGCACACTGGGGGGCCCAACTACCCTTCTGGAGAGGAGGTTCCCACAGCCCTTTCCTGCTTCCTTTTCCATCCCAAATTTCTGATCTGGATTTCACTCTGATACCATTTCCACCAATGGCAGATACTGGGACCTCTCACCCCTCCCCACTGCCATTACAAACACACAAACCCCTATTCCTTGCTGGTGGAGCCTCCTGGGGGAGACCACACCCTCCTTAGCCCAGAGAGTGGCCTGGGTTTTCATGGTAACTCACTGCAGTGACCCTTTTAGGGATGAGTGCATGACCCAAGCCTGGTTGAGGGTTCTGCAAGGACATCCACGGGGAGGTTATGGAGAGGGTTGTCCCTGGGACACACAGGGTGAGACACCATCTTCTCTGCTGGACATCATCTTGTCCACCAGTGGGCCCAAGTGGGCATGACTGTGGCCTGCCAAGGATGCCGAAAACAGACACAAGTATTGTGGCCCCTGATACCACCCTGGGCCCCTCACCCTGATCCTGGGATGTACCTGCCACATGTGATGGTTTTTTTTTTTTTTTTTTTTTTTTTTGAGGCGGAGTTTCGCTCTTGTTACCCAGGCTGGAGTACAATGGCGTGACCTCGGCTCACCACAGCCTCCGCCTCCTGGATTCAAGCAATTCTCCTGCCTCAGCCTCCTGAGTAGCTGGGATTACAAGCACGCGCCGCCATGCCCAGCTAATTTTTAGTATTTTTAGTAGAGACGGGGTTTCACCATGTTGACCAGGATGGTCTCGATCTCTTGACCTCGTGATCCACCCACCTCAGCCTCCCAAAGTGCTGGGATTACAGGCTTGAGCCACCGCACCCAGCTACATGTGATGTTTTGTTGTATAACAAATGCCCATTACTTAAGGTGCTTTTAGAAGGATCCTCATGGGGACAGAATGTTGTCTGTTCTCCACAAGGTCTAGGGTCTGCTCCTTGAACACCCAATTCCTGGCACTGGTATTTCTCTTGGTGATTTTAACCTAAAAGTAGGCTGGCACTGCTATTTCTCTTCTTGGTAATTTTAACCTAAAAGAAGGCTCACTGAAGGACAAAGGGAAGGCCGTGGAGCCCCTGAAGAACCAGAAAGGCAGGCCTGGGGCTTTTGCGTTCAGGAACAACGCCCAGACGGTGCTCCCAACAGATGCAGTCAGGATGCCACGGCTGTGTGAGCACCAGCTTGTGGGGACAGGCTGCACCACAGGCCCCACAAGGATGGGCCCTGGGCAGTCCCTGCGTCTAACTCCAAGTCTGACTGGCAGATCCCAGACCCTGGACCTACACTGAGCTGCAGGGGCCCTGGGAAGCTAGCACTGCACTGTGAGCCACTGCAGTGGGAAGGGGCAGCCCAACACTGGCCACAGCCACAGTTCCCACGTGTGGAAAGACTGTGAGGTGGATTCCCGGTGAGGAAGGCTAACGGTGCAAGTACTCCTGCCCTAGATGCCCGGAGCCGGGGGGTAGACAGTGGCACCCTTGCTCCACCCTGGGCAGGCGGCACTGACAATCTCCACATTCCTCCCAGATGATCTCAGGCAACTG